CTATCTGTCTGTCTGTCGCTATCTACCTATCTATCTATCTGTCTGTCTGTCTGTCGCTATCTATCTATCTGTCTGTCTGTCTATCGCTATCTATCTATCTATCTATCTGTCTGTCTGTCTGTCTGTCGCACTTAAAACGTGTCTCTCCTCTCACTCAAACTGTGTCCTGTGCACTCTCAAATCTCTGTGCTCATGCACTATAGATATTAATTATTTTCGCACCTGAATTAAACGTTGTCAAAAGTTATCATTATGCACTTTTAAAAAGTAGTCTCAAAACTGATTTGTGCAGGGCCTTTCCTTGATCTTTTATTGTTGTATTTTTGTTTTAACATAAACTGGTTATTGTAGCGACTTTGTTTTACTATATCTCTTTTATGTTTGTATTTTGATCTTTTCTGCGAATGCACATATGCATGTCTTTGTAAAGGAGGCTACTTTGTATATACTGTTTTAAAGAGAGATTCGCGCTCGCGCATAATATTAATGTGCTTTCACGCTACAATAATGCGCTCTCGACATTTGTCATTAAAATAACGCCATAGTTCTGTCTTAAATCAGAAGATTTAAGATTAAAGATTCAGGTGCGAAAAGAATTAATATCTATAGTGCATGAGCACAGAGATTTGAGAGTGCACAGGACACAGTTTGAGTGAGAGGAGAGACACGTTTTAAGTGCGTGCACTCTCTCCGGGCGTGAGCAGCGTGTATCTGAGCGCACGCGTCCGGTTTTGTGCAAGAGCAAAAGAAATCTGCGCGCGCATTATATTAATGTGCTTTGGCGCTACAATAATGCGCTCTCGACATTTGTCATTAAAATAACGCCATAACATTTGTCTATTTTTTTCTTTTGTTATGTCCTTAGATCTTAGGATATGAGAACAGAGGTATTAGATTTAGGATCTTCCATGTTGTCAATATATTTGTTAATATTTTAAAGGCCAAATACATGTTGCCTATTTAATATGTTTTACATTCTATTATACATACAGATTTACTCAAATGTTTCACATCTGTAAATGTTTAACATCTTTAAATTAAGCCTGTCAATTTACTGAGTTAATTACGGGTGGTTATAGCTTAAAGGGGTCACATGATGTTGCTAAAAAGAACATTATTTTGTGTATTTGGTGTAATGAAATGTGTTTATGCGGTTTAAGGTTAAAAAAACGCATTATTTTCAACATACTGTACATTATTGTTTCTCCTCTATGCCCCACCTTTCTGAAAACCGTAGATTTTTACAAAGCTCATCGGTCTGAAAAGCGAGGTGTGCTCTGATTGGCCAGCTATCCAGCGCGTTGTGGTTGGCCGAATACCTCAAGCGTCTGAAGGAAATGTTACGCCCCTACCATACTGTGATGCCCTGTCCGGCCGGAGCGACGAGACAAAAACATTAAAACCCATTATAAACGAGGCATTTGTTGCATCCAGTAAACATAATTACGGATTATAATGACTTATACTGTCTTTTTAGCACCAAGAGCTTGTAACACTCCAAAGAGAAAGGAAAAATTGACATCGCATCATATGACCCCTTTAATAAAAAGTTAATTGTGTGCCTTATCGCATATTTAAATGCAGTAATATGTAATTTTCTTACTATCAGAGCAATTTAAAATTAAAGTTAATTTGATTAAACTTTCTAATCAATTGATAGCCCTACATTAAATAAGAGCTTTTGATGCAATTATAACATACTAGTGAAAAAAGGGACATAGGATGCATTTTCTCTGAATGTAAGCTTTTCTATAACGGTTTTCCAATTGAATGTAATCTAATCTGCCTTCTGAATTAAAAAATAATGCTCAGTCTGCAGTCAGCTATATTGAATACTATGTGTTGAATGCTGTAGAGACTGTTCAGGTTTTAATTAAATCAATAAAACCATTTACCCTTTCAAAAACACACACACACACACACACACTCAATGGGCCCTATTTTAACGATCTAAGTGCATGGTCTAAAGCGCGCGGCACAGGTGCACCTCAGGGCGTGTCCGAATCCACTTTTGCTAGTTTAACTACGGGAAAACGGTCGGCGCGCCCGGGCACATGGTCTAAATGGGTTGTCCCTGTTCTCTTAATGAGTATTGTAATGGGTTTTTTTTGGGCGTAACGTGCAATAAACCAAATGAGAGTGTCATCTCCCATTCCCTTTAAAAGCCAGTTGCGCTCGTGCCATGGCGGGTTCGCTATTTACATGGCGGAATGTAATTTTTCATTTTTAAAAATGTTTGTGTGCTGCTGCATGTCCCTGTGTGTGTAATAAGCAAAGTGTACGCACGTTGTGCACCTGGCTATAGGCACATATTACTAACGCGCTCTTTAAATAACAAAGAAAAAATATTGCGCCAGACTTTAGACCAAGTGTTTGTTGGTCAATGGCGCAGTCTATTTCGGTTGCCTCAAAATAGCAACGCGCCTGAACACACCTAATTTTTCAGACCAGCACGCCCATATGCGCGAAATGGGCGCAAATGCATTTGTTATTGCCACTAGGTGCCGCTTTTGGAGCGGTAAAAATAGAGGTTTCCACAGTAACGCTGTACTTATGCACTATTCCATGAAGTTTTGTAGTATAAATAGTGCGGTTTTCCGATTTAATGTAATCTAAGCTGCCTTCTGAATTAAAAAATAATGCTCAGTCTGCAGTCAGCTATATTGAATACTATGTGTTGTATGCTGTAGAGACTGTTCAGGTTTTAATTAAATCAATAAAACCATTTACCCTTTCAAAACACACACACACACACTCAATGAGATTTTAATGTAAAAATAAAAAGACTAGCTGCCATTTTTCTGTGCTGATAGTTACAAGGATCCAGGCATTTTCACTGTTATATTCTGCTGGTTGAGTGAGTCTGCTGAAAAAGTGACATGCTGTCAAGACCTGCCAGAGATATGACAACACGTCTTTAATTTTTGAAAAGCTGCTGGCCACAGACAGGCAGTCAAGCATTCATTCACAGATGCACAGTTGTACTCTTTTAATGCTGAATTGTTTTTTTATATTTAATCTGTATCTATCTGTATTTATGTTCTACTGTTAGTGTTATCTGCATGCACCAAGGGTCTGAGAGTAACGCAATTTCAATTCTCTGTATGTATGTGCTGTACATGTGGAAGAATTGACAATAAAGCAGACTTGACTTAACTTGACTTGTTTAAGGCATGGACAGGTTTGACGAAATACAGCAGATGTTTAAATAGCATCATGGAGACCATGCCCTTCACTTTTACTTGTAATAGCCCATACAATGCTGCAACCTCTATCATTAGGACAGCATGTGCTCATGTATATTTTGCAATATACAGGACCAGAATTAATTGTTGTAAAATCTATTAGTTTGTGTTCAAAATTTAAGCTTGTGTTCTTCCTAGTCAGGCTGTTGTCCCCACATGCTTCAAAGCTACCACCATCATTCCAGTCCCGAAAATGTGCTGCTTTATATATTTTTTTTTACATTTTACCTTATTTGTATATTTGTATAGTTGTATTTTATATTTAATCTGTATCTATCTGTATTTATGTTCTACTGTTAGTGTTATCTGTATGCACCAAGGGTCTGAGAGTAACGCAATTTCAATTCTCTGTGTGTATGTGCTGTACATGTGGAAGAATTGACAATAAAGCAGACTTGACTTGACTTGACTTCCAATCTTCGAGTTTACATATTGTAGTTTTAATCATCATTATGAGAGTAGTGTTTCAAACTTTGTGTGGTCTTATACTAGCGGTCTCTTTCTTTCTCTGTGTTCAGTAGCAGCTTCTGCTATGTAATCTTCTTGTTCTCTGTAATTTCCCTACTCAGGGAACCATGGTTACATAAGTAACCTGAGACGATCTTTCTTTTCATTCCCATACTGTGGACATTATGCACCAATGGCAGGGCCATCTCACATGGTGTAATAAGCAAGATAAGACATAACTAAAGAAAAAACAGCTTAGTTAACAGCTTAGTAGTTCAAAATATAGGCATAGCATTGGAGTATTAAAAAGAAAACCTGATCCATGTTCTCCCTTGGTTTCAATGGGTATGACCTTTCTGCATGTGTTGTGTCTTTTGTCATATGTTTGTCTTGCTTTTCTGTGGTCATTCTATGGTGTTATCATGGTAAATGCATTTTTATGTTTATTTTAATGCATCTTTACTTTCCACAGGTAGTGATTCCCAGTCATCAGATTCAGGCAAGTGTTTGTTGGATGTGTATGTGCGTCTGTCTTCATTATTGTGTTTATATAAATATTAATGTGTACTATACAGTGGACACATGAAGTATTTGGGCACTTAGGAGGCATTTTACTACATAAAAAAGCATTTTAGTATTTTGTAAATATGTTTATAGTAGTTATTAATATTTTGAAGTAGCTTTTTTATATGTTCAGTTTGTCGTTTTTTGTTAAAGTTTTAGTGATTTAGTATTGTGCTTTTGTCATTTTTATTAGATTTTTTAAACAAATATATATATATTTAGCTATATATGTCTGTGTGTATGTGTGTGTGTGTGTGTGGGGTGGGGGGGGGTTTATTTATTTATATTTTTTATTTGTGTGTAGATGCCTGGCGTTCACGCAGTGTGTCTGAGGGGTTAAGGAATGGAGATGCCAGCAGCGCGTCCTTGACTGCTAAAGGCTTCCGCAGCGTTAAACCCAACCTACAGGATAAGAAATCTCCCACACCGGTACACATTCATTTATAATACTTTTTTTTTTTTAAATAAGCTATTAATGCATTCCTGCTTCTTGATCATACTGCTGTTAGATTTTGCACCCTATTCATTTTATTTTCACAACAAAAAATCCTCTGCTTTCATATTATGTGCTACTTTGAAATTATTTTGCTTCACAACTGTTTGGATTAATATTGGTCATGGTCTTTTTCCAATATGATAACGTCTTTCTAGAGGATTCATATCAAGTGTGATTTTCTTGACCCCTAAAGCAGTCGAATTGAAATTTCTCTGAGAAAATTTGCTTTATTTAAACTAACTTTACATATTTGAATTGACCTTTTCTCTATCAGGTCCCCTTGCCGCCCCCTCGGAGAGAGAGCTATCACATGACCCCTAACCCCCCATCTTACAGTTCCCTTGCAATGCTGTCAAACACCTCCCTCTCTTCCCCACAGAGTAATGATGTCATTTCCTCAGGCTCTTACAACATCCAATCTAGTGCCACCTCCTCATACTCATACTCTAAGACCACCCGAACCTCCACTAGCACCTCTGGAGCCCCCCTTGAGGAGCCCCCCTTGTCCCAACAGGCTAATGCTAACAGTTTTATCACTCGTGTTCTGGGGAACAAATTGTCATCTTCAAAATTCTCAAGTGACCAACTAAATGCAGCACCTAACAAGATGAACATGATTAAAACTGACCCAAAGTCTAAAACTAAGCCAAAAAGTACATCTGCTTCCCCACCTCAAGACCCCACTGCTACTTCTGAAACACACGTAGCTTCTCTCTCCATCCAGTTAGCTCCTCGCAGTCCAGAAGCTCAAGCAGAGACCCAGTCAGGGCTTGAGACTAAATCCAGGACAAACGCAGTGGACCCCGCTGACCCCATGCGAGCCCCTGTTGTACCACCAAGACCAGCAAGCAGTTTGGTGGTATTATTGTCATTTATTTACAGTGATAATGTACACTTATACTACTAGTCAAAAGTTTGGAATAATGACGATTTTTAAATGTTTTTGAAGTCTCTTATGCTCACCAAGTCTGCATTTATTTAATTAAAACTACAGTAGAAACAGCAATATTGTGATAAATACCATTTAAAACTGCTTGCTTTTTGAATATATTACTGTGATGACAAAGCTAAATTTTCAACATCCATTTCTCCAGTTTGCAATGTCACATGATCCTTCAGAAATCATTCTAATATGCTGATTTGTTGCTCAGTTATTGTCATTTATTATTGGTATTCAGTTATTAATATTTTTTCTTATTATTATCAGTTTAAAACACTGAACTCTCTGCTGAATGTTGAGGATTCTTTAAACAGAAAATTCAAATAACAGCATTTATTTGAAATAGAAATCTTTACACATTATACAGTGTCTTTACTGTTACTTTTAATCAATGTAATGCATTCTTGTTGAATATAAGTAATAATTTATTTTAATAATTTATTTAACATTTTTTAATTATTATTATTATTTTAAATCGTACTTACCTCCAACTATGCAATAGTAGTGTGTCACAGTTTCCACACACACACAAAACATTTTTTTTAAGCAGCACGGTTTTCAACACTAATAATAAGAAATGTTTCTTAATCACCAAACTAGCATATTACATTAAAGGGGTCATATGATGCGATTTCAAGTTTTCCTTTCTCTTTGGAGTGTTACAAGCTCTTGGTGCATAAAGAAAATCTGTAAAGTTGCAAAGACTAAAGTCTCAAATCCAAAGAGATATTCTTTAAAAGATGAAGCTCGCGATTATGGTAAGGGGCGTTACATTTCCGACGAGTGCTTGCGGTGTTCGGCCAATCACAATGCACTGGGTCAGCTGGCCAATCAGAGCACACTCTAAAAAATGCTGGGTTGTTTTAACCCAACTTTGGGTCAAATATGGACTAACCCAACTGTTGGGTTACATTTTTCAATTACATTTTTAACCCTAAAGTTGGGTTAGTCCATATTTGACCCAAAGTTGGGTTAAAACAACCCAGCATTTTTTAGAGTGCAGACTGCGCTTGTCAAAGGTTGGGGCTTTGTTGAAAACGACGTGTTTGAGAGAGGCGGGGCATAGAGGACCTACAATAATGTACAGTATTTGAAAAAGAATGTGTTTTTTGAACATTAAAGCATGTCAACATATTCTGTTACACCAAATACACAAAATAATGATCTTTAAAATAGCATCATTGATATGACCCCTTTAATGACTTCTGAAAATATATTAAAATATAAAACAGTTATTTTAAATTATAATAATATTCTTAAATTTTACTGTATTTCTCATCAAATAAATACAGCCTTGGTGAAATCTTAATTATTCCACATTTTGGGAAATTTTGGTGTCTCTATTTCTTACAGTATACTCACAGTGTGACCCATTTAGCATTCATTCATCTTCATCTGATGGAATGGAGTGAACGTACACAGACAGCTTGATGAAAGAATGTGTGTTTACTGCTAATTACTATTTTATTTTTCCAGCAACCTTTTATTCCTTCCCACAGTTTCACTTGTTCTTCTTCACTCAACATGGTTCAATGTGCCCGTATGTCACTTCTTGTTCACTGGCTTTGCTTTATGTTCACTTTCAATTCTTGTCTTCCTTCCCTTTTATTCCCTCTCACCCTCCTCCATCAGCGTGAGTTTTCCCCTGTAAGAGGGAGCACCAGGCCGCTCTCTTCTGGACCGCCCTCCCCGGACCCTTCAGCTCGCCGGTCACCGTATAGCCGGGCCAGTCAGGATTCCCCTGACTTCCTGTCAGGGCTATTGCCCAAAGCCCTGTCGCCAACACCCTATGCCCCTCTGGAACGTTCCGGGCTAATGTCGGCCTCACCTGCCCCGTCACCAGTAACCGTGTCAGCGCTGAGTCATTATTCATCATCCACAGCTGGGCTGGAGGAGCTGCAGATCTGCAGCATGGACTCCTCCCCCGCAGGCACACCCACCCCATCCCCCACACTCAGCCACGCCTCCAACGCCCCTGACGAGATTCCTGCCGCCCCGTCAGCTGCCACGGGCACTAACGTAACTATCACGCTCAACTGGCACACCTCACTCCAGTCTGGTGCCACGTTTGTTTGAATCTGCTCGTGTTTGTATGTCGCCACTAGTCTTTCAGCGCTGTTGAATGTCTAACTTTGAGTCACATGCTTGAATGTGTCAGCTTACAGCAGGTGGCTGCTTTGTCTTTTGTTTTATGCTTGATTTTCACTCTGTTTTATGTATGCAGTTATTCATTGTATGCTATGTATGTTGTTTTCCCATTTAAAGTCAACATGCACACATGTTTTAAAATGAAACATGTTTGATGATCTGAAACATTAAAGTGTGACAAACATGCAAAAAATAAGAAATCAGGAAGGGGGCCAACACTTTTTCACACCACTGTATATATTTGTTGTTCTCGATACAGTTTATATAATATACTGTATACAACTGGCAATCATATACTGCTAAAAATATATTGTAATTTGTTATTGCTGCTGTAATGTTTATTAATATATAAATGTACACTGTTCTAAAGTTTCGAGTCAGTAAGGTTTTTGGTGTTTTTAAAAGAAGAAGGCTGCATTTATTTGATCAAAAATACAGTTTTTGTACAAAATACAATTTAATATATTTTAAATAATGCAATTAATTCCTGTGATGTCAAAGCTATATTTTTAGCAGCCATTACTCCAGTCTTTGGTGTCAATTATTATATTCTAATATGCTGATATGGTGCTCAATGTTGAAAACAGTCTTGCTGCTTAATATTTTTGTGGAAAACCATGATGCATTTTTTAAGATGCTTTGATTAATAGAAATTCAAAAGAACATTTCAAATAGAAATCTTTTAGCAATATAAATATCTTTACTGTCACTTTTTGATTAATTTAATGCATTCTTGTCAAATAAAATAATGAATGCCTTATTTAAAAAAAAATAATAATAATACAAATAAATAAATCTTACTGACCACAAACATTTAAATGATAATGTGTATATATATAATATTTCATACTATATATTAAAAGAAGTATGAAGTCCAGGTATGTGTTTGAAGAAAGAGGACATTTTAATTTCATGTAGACTTTAGGGTTCTTATGATGACCTGTGATTTCCTATGTGACCTTTCATGAAGTTTGTTTGAGATTAACATTTGCATTTTATATTGCTGCTGTTGACTGAAGACTTGAACTTCTTTGGAATATGAATTTATAATGGTACCATATTCCAGTGTTAACACTCTTTCTTACATAGATTGTCCTGCACTCATTATCTACTAAAGGTTCTTTCAAAGTATGTTTGTTGTCATGTAGTCTAACAATTTTTCAGTTACCTCTTCATTTGTCATCCATCATCCCACTTATGTTACTACAGAAGCACCAACATCTGATCACAACCTTTATCCTTTTTGTAACAGCGTTTTCCTCAGTAATGACATTTCTCACATTTGTTGTACAGTATCTTTTGATGTGTGCTCTCATGTCTCAACTTCTTGTCCCATAGCTGTCACCCACTCATACTTGTTTGACGAAAGTGACTCTACAAATGACATAATTCCATCTCTTGTAAACTGTTTTTTTTTTTATTTGTTTTTTTTTATGTTGCCCAGGGTCAGATGGCAGTGAACGGAAGCTCTCAATCTCAGAGGCCCTTCTCTCCGCCTGTGTACCCACCTCCACCCCCAACCCTCAGCCCAGGCCTGGTAAAGATCCAGCAGGGTCGTAGTTCAGGTGAGAGGAAAGTCCCACACAGACCTCTGGCTAGTATTGCAAAGCAGAGTTTCAGCCAAACGTTGCTTATTCAGACCTAAAACCGCCCACTTAGACTGGAATAGGATGTCTGAACCACATGTAAAACTAGTTTTTGTATGTGATGTAGACATAAAAAGAGAGATAGTAACTGCATCAAACTAAATCTATATCATAATAGCCTAGTAGATAGGCCTACTACTTTTTGTTTGAAACTTACTTCATGACTATTTGGCATTATGGGATAGTAAAGTGTCCATGACACTCCAAAATCTTGCCGGACGTAGTAGGTCATCCAGGTACTTTTGCATATTTTATTTTAGAATACAATGAGTTTAGACATACTCTTTGGTGTACTGTTTTTCGCATACAAAATAGTATGGAAGTAAGCCTATTTGGACACATCAAATGTTTTCTAAAAAACACTTTCCTCAATTGTCTTTGTGTCCTTCTATTGATTGAGTACTAGTATTGGCGCTCTAAAATAATGGATTTGTAATGCACAATTCTTGTTAGTGGATGCCTGTATTGGCAGTTAACGGTGCAGTCTGGTCCTCAGGATATGATGCATTTGCATCCATTAGGCCAGACCGGAGCAATCAATACCTGAACACAGGGAAACTGAGGAGAGGCAAAGCTCTGATACTTTGGGTGGGGTTTGCTTAGGAAGGCAAATTCATACAATTGTTGTAGTAGTTTAAAGAAAAGATGCTGACAGATAGTTTGCTGTAGTGTTTCCTCATGTCATTGTCTTTTTGCTAGTGCAAACTTGCATAGATGTGAAGGAATAAAAGTAGCTGTCTCATTTACGCTGTGTCATACATATTTCATAGTTCAGGGTGCTTAGTCAGGGTGAGAGCCATGTCAGTGTTCCTGCTCTATTAGATTAGATTTGACTGTGACTGTCCAGCTCAGACTTCTGTCACTATATATATTTTTTGGGCTGACACTGTGTGATATTTGCCCTGATTATGCCATCTGATACAAATTTTGGGAAACATTATAGATTGCTTTCGTCAAAGGCAGTTTTTGATCGCTTAGTGTGACATTCTAGTGTGACAATGGCCAATTAATTGCCTTTCTGATTAATATTAGCATCCAATGAAGTACTGACACTAACACATTTTGAGTGCTGCAGTGTGACTGTATCTATGGCAGCAGTCTAATGAAGAGCCAATAGTAGCACAGCAATCAATGATGTGTGTGTGAGTGAGAGATGTTTAGTTAAAAAGGTTGATACTAGGTTGTTGCACTGTCTTCCCTCACTGTTACCCAGGAACTCACTGGGGTCACAATTAGACAAGAATCAATTGTAAAGGACAGCACTTGTTTTACTCTTTTTATCTGTCTCTAACCTTTCTCTCTCTCTCTCTCTCGCACTCAGAGGGTTCAGAGACGGTGAAGAGAGAGACCGTTGTCTCTGGTCAGACAGTGGTCAGTAGCTCTGTGCCCATCGCTCGTTTCTCAGAGGAAGAGAAGAAGGTGTCCATCATAAAAGCACCCCATTACGAAGGCATTGGACCAGTGGATGAGTCAGGCATTCCCATCGCCATCCGAACGGTGAGTGATATCCAGACATTTTTAAGGGAACTGACAAAAATGACAAATTAAAAACAACTACACTTTTAAAAAGATTGTCCTTATTCCTTAATAAAATAAAGATTATTGAAGTAAGTTTTACAAGTAAATCCTAGTCTTTCTACTTAAAAATTGCATATTCAATGGGTTTCTTGCTGTTTCTTTGTTATTATTTGTGAATTTTATGAGCAAATTTGGAGTGAAAATTATTACAAAGTAAATACTACACCATTTTTCAGTGTATTTTGCTCCTTTAAAATTTATTTCACCTATGTTTCACTGTAGCAAATTTGAGTTCATTATATATACACTAAAATGTATACACAGTTTTGTCATTAATGTGTCATGATGACACTTTTGCTAAGTATTTAGTGATTGTTTTGTCTTTAAAGTTATGACTGATATATTTACAGATAAGTAATTTGTCTGCCCATAACTGCATGTGATACAATCAATAGACATTAACTATTTGTTATAAATCAGTTCATTCTGGATTTCAAATTTTTGGGGTTGGCATTTAGTCCAACAGCACTGAGACTTTTCACTGTTTCACATTCAGACAAACTGCCAGTCTGCAAGTTACATCCTTATGTGTATGTATGTTGCAGCAAAGGATTGTCTTTAGGAATGAGTCATTGAATCATTTATTCAACCGATTCGTTCAAAACACTGATTCATTTAGGAAAGAGACAGCTGCTTGTTGCTCGGAAGACGGGAGGGGTTTTGACATCATTTGGAAATATTTTTGTTGGCAAAAAGTTACTCAATAATAATTCCATGTATTGAACTGTTTATATAAATGTACTACCAATGAGTTGATAGTGCTATACAACATGAAGGCACAGAAATAGAAACAAAAAAAAAATATTGACAGAATATTCTGCTGCTTATCGCGCTTGTGACTGGTTAATCCAAAAACTGAGATTTACATGATGTTTTATTACCTGATACTTTATCAAAACAAAACCAAGCACTCTTTCTTTCTTTCTGAATGATTTTAAACAGCACAACATCTGTTCACTGTCACTGGACAGTTTAAAACAACAGATCAGCTGTTAATGATCTGTTTTGAGGGCACTTTTTCTTGATTTGTGTTTTGACATTTGATCCTCTTATTGTGGTTAGAGGAATGCTTCTGAGCTCTCAGCAGGTCAGACTGTCTGTGAATGTGTGTGTTTGTGAGAAGAAGAGAACATTCCTGGCTCTTTCCTGGACGGTTACTATGATACTCCCTGTCTGTCTCTCTCACTCTGTGCTCTGGTGATTTTGTTGGTTGTCAGGTAATGACAAATGCTGTTAGCTGTTTGTGCGCTTAACCAGCAAACTGACAAGGCAAATCGCTTGTGTGTGTGTGTGTGTGTGTGTGTGTGCTTCTATTTAGACTGTGGACAGACCCAAGGACTGGTACAAGACCATGTTCAAACAGATCCACATGGTTCATAAAGCAGGTGAGTGAGTGGGAGGACACAAAGAACGTATCCTGCAGTATTCATTTCAGATGACCCACAAACACACACTATGTTTGATTTTATTTCCGTTTAATGTTGTTTTCACCAGATGATGACTATGCAGACACATATAATGCAACATACGCTGTCATAAACAATGGTAAGTTCTGTGAAAGCTGAAGATCAGATATTAACTTTCATATCTGCTTAATCCAACACATGTATGTAGTAAAAGTTTAAATCATGTCTGTGTTCCTTTATGTGAGAAGGGTTTTTATGTGTGTGTGTGTGTGTGTATGTGTGTGTGCGTGTGTGTGTGCATGTATATATATATATATATATATATATATATATATAAATAATAATTCTGCATGATCTTTCATTCACAAAATTCTAACCTATCATTGAAGTAAAACAATGGAAAGTGGGGG